ATAAGTGAGATTTATAGAAGATTGTTTGAAGAATATTCATGATTCCTTTAAGTATGTTATATTCTATCTGTGGTAGGCACTGTAATTGACTCTCCAACATCCACTTCAGCCCAGTTAATTAGTCTAAACCTGTCACAGTGATTGGTTCAGGCCTAAGCCAATTTGGGCTAATGAGATCTGAGAAGAGGCTTTATAGGAGTATAAATGGTTGCCTATCTCTCCCCTCAGAGTGAACAAAGATACATGTTGATCCAATATTTGCTGGCAACCATCCTGTGTCCATAAAGAACAGAGTTTTTAGGACCAAGCTGATGCGGCTTCTAGCAGAACAGAAAATTGCTGATGACATTGGGGATCCCATAAATCAATGAACCTTGGGATGTAGGCAGCCTGATCTTTGTGTTTCCTTTTATATGAAATAACTTCCCTTACTGTGTAAGCCCATTTCAGAGTTTCTATTACTTGCAGCCAAAAGCAACCTTGGATCAACTGGACCGTCAGAAGCATCCATTTATTTTTACATGTTATTATTTTGTTTTTTTAACTACTACAAAGGTGCTACAAGACGTGACCATATGAAATCTGTGACTGAATTTGCTATGGAACTTTATCCACAAAATGTTAAGTAGACTCTCATTTGAGAAATTTCTCTTAGAAAGCAGTGCTTTCTAGAAAGAGCTCTGATTTTATGGTATAATATATATATTTCTTCTTTTCTGTTAAGAATATTATTTTAGGGGCGCCTGGGTGGCTCAGTCATTGGGCATCTGACTTTGGCTCGGGTCATGGATCCCAGGGTCCTGGGATCGAGCTCCGCATCGGGCTCCCTGCTCCATGGGAAGCCTGCTTCTCCCTCTCCTACTCCCCATTCTTGTGTTCCCTCTCTCGCTGTGTCTCTCTGTCAAATAAATAAATAAAATCTTAAAAAAAAAAAGAATATTATTTTCTTTGGGCCTGGGTGGCTCAGTCGTTAAGCGTCTGCCTTCGGCTCAGGTCCTGATCCCAGGGTCCTCGAGCCCCGCATCGGGCTCCCTGCTCGGCGGGAAGCCTGCTTCTCCCTCTCCCACTCCCCCTGCTTGTGTTCCCTCTCTTGCTGTCTGTCAAATATGTAAATAAAATCTTTAAAAAAAAAAAAGAATATTATTTCATTTATGCTATCAAGAAAATTTAAAGCTAAATGTGAGACCCATCTATAGCAACTGTGTAAACTCTTACAAGAGTACATGTGCTTCCTTTCTGGTTTTGGTTTTCTACTTTAAAAAATATTTGTCATGGTCCTCATAGTTTGTATTTATTATACTTGCTCCTGATCCAAGTCATCTCAAGTACTCTGGAGACAAATAAATGAGTATCAATAAAATGGGTTCCAGAGTTTACAGCTGACATACTGATTTACATATATATTAGATTAAGATATGCATGAAATATTGCTAACTCATAAGACTTCAACTACCTTAATATAGAACATTTAAGCCAAGAGTGAATGTATAAGAGTACAATTAATCTGGACATACGGCCAAACCTCAACATCTGCCATATATAGCTCTTTTCTAGAGTTCTTACTAAATCAATCACCAGGTGATGACGCCACGTGTCTCACTGAGCCTGGTTGGAAACCTGACCCAAATGTTGCCACTCTATATGATGTTTTGGCCCCGAAGCTTTTCATTTCTGTGTCTGAGAGGTCTTGTATTTCTTCCTGTTTTCTTTATTTCCCATGGGTACTAGTAAATCCAAAAAGAGCTAAATATACACAATTTCTTACTCTTTCATGTCTTTATATACATATGAATTTTAAATCATGCTGCTAAGCTTGAGAATTGTATATACATCTGCCTTTTGGCATTGCCACCTCGATATCCACAGGTACCAGAACTGAACTCATTTTCATTATTTTCTTTCAATTAACCCTGTTCTTCCACCTATTTTATCTTAGTGAGTGTTCCCACCATTCACTTGGCAGAAAGCAAAAAACTGGGGCACCATCCTTGCCTTCTTCCCAGTACCCTCATTAGCATCACATCAAATCAATCAGCAATATACTGCCAGTCCCAGCTCTTAAAAATCTGATAGGGCCCATCCCTCCAATGGGGTTCAGGCCATCATTTCCCCCAGTAAAGATTACTGTAGTAACTTTCTATTTGCTATTCTTGTCTTCAGCAAAAAACGTTTTTGTTAAATAAACAAGTATGGAGTGAATTACCTGCTTCTTCAATACCATTTTATCAGAGGTAACCACTAGTAACCTAATGGCTATGAAGAAATGCCTAAAGTAGGGTCACTCTTAACAGATAGAAGACTACAAATCATCCACTTAAGAAGTCACCTATTAGTCTACCCTTCATGCTGTCTTTGGGACTGCATTTAAAGGAAGAAACACTAGCATCAAAGAAAATATCTACAAAACCTTTGCTACAATAAATCACCAAGAGTAGGATACGGTTGAAGAATTAGTGAACATATACAACATAAAACAGAGCAATAGACTGCATTTGTTTATCATATGAGCTGAATTTTTTCAAAGATTTTATTTATTTGAGAGAGAGAGAGCATGAGTTGGGGGAGAGGCAGAGGGACAAGCAGACTCCCCGCTGAGCACAGAGCCCGACACGGGGCTCAATCCCAGGACCCTGAGATCATAACCTGATGCTTAACCCACTGAGCCACCCAGGTGCCCCTGCATTTTTTACTTTAAATTATATCATGAACACTTATTATACAATTGCATATTTTATTACAACTGTATTATTAAAAAATGTATTATAAATTATAAATTGAAAATTTATACAAATTATACATATATTAGAATGAATTAACATTCCATGAAATTTACCCTTTTAAAGTACACAATTCAGTGGTTTTTAGTATAACCACAATGTTGTGCAGCCATAATCACTATCTAATTTCAGAACATTTCATCACTCCCAAAAGAAACCCTATACCCATTAGTAGTCACTCCCTATCACCCCTCACCACAGCCCCTGGCAACCCTATCTCCATGGATCTGTCTATATCCTGCATATTTCATATAAATGGAATTATACAGTATGTGGCCTTTATGTCTGTCTTCCATGGAGAAAAACTCTAATAAAATATAAAAATGTAAACCATAACAGGGGGCAGCTAATTACCAAAGAATCAAATAATTTCCCTGAATCTTATTGAGTCTTTAGGTAAACTACTATAGTACAAATTAATGCCATTATAAAAAAAAATTGAAGTATGTCTTAGTGCACTTGGTTTACAATAACACTAAAAAACATGACCCATTTAAAAACATTTCTCCTTAAGATAGCTAAAATTTTGCTGACATTTGAGGGATACTCAATATATCCAGGAAACATTGTCCAATAGCCTCGGGTAGCCTAGGGTATATTGCTATTATTTCAACTATAGTCAACCAGCATGTACAAAAGCATTGGTTCCATGAAAAAAATCCATTCCAAGTTTAATTCCATTATTTTTTCTTAATATCTCCAATGTATAAGATATTACATAAAGATTTATAAGAAAACAGTCCCTGCTTGCAAGGTACTTCCAATATAGTGAAGGACTCAGATGTGCAAATCCTCTGAAATGCCAGGAATATTCTTCTTCACCAGTACTAGTGTGAGATTATTTTGCACCTTGAACAGGGATTGGGCTGGTTATGGGCTGGGGCAGGAGCAGCTAAGAGCAAGAGGCAGATGCACCTCAGTACAATTTGTTAACTTCTAACATTTGCAAAAGAGAATGTACCTTTCTTTCTCAGTCATGGTATTCTACATCAGTGAACAAACAATAGCATGATTAAGTAACCAAATAGGGGCGCCTGGGTGGCTCAGTTAAGCATCTGACTTTGACCCAAGTCATGTTCTCGGGGCCCTGGGATTGAGCCCCACATTGGGCTCTGTGCTCAGTGGGGAGTGTGCTTGTCCCTCTGCCTCTCCCCGCACTCGTGCCCTCTCTCTGTCTCTCTCGTTCGCTCACTCTCTCTCAAATAAATAAAATCTTTAAAAAAAAGTGCCCAAATGGGCTGTGAAATAACTCCCCTAGTTTTTTTTTCCTAGGCAATACCTAGGTCAGATGTATATAAATTGGGGGCTGTGAGTTTTATGTTGTGGGTGATCCAAATGCAATTTTTCTTTTTTAAAGATTTTATTTATTTATTTGAGAGAGAGAGAATGAGAGAGAGAGCATGAGAGAGGGGAGGATCAGAGGGAGAAGCAGACTCCCCGCCGAGCAGGGATCCCGAGGCGGGACTCGATCCCGGGACTCCAGGATCATGACCTGAGCCGAAGGCAGTCGCCCAACCAACTGAGCCACCCAAGCGCCCCCAAATGTAATTTTTACCTACTAAAAATAAGGAGGATAAAATTGTAACTGTAATACAAGAAAGAACTTCAAATAACTTTTACCTTGTTATCTTTTTTTTTTTAAGATTTTATTTTTAAGTACACCCAACATGGGGTTTGGACTTACAACCCTCACATCAAGAGCCTCATGCTCCACCACCTGAGCCAGTGATGTCCCCCCTACCTTTTTACCCTTAAAGTAAAGGGCTGTAACTCTTCTCTACAGTGCCTCAGTATATGTGATATTTTGTCACAAATACAAGTCACTTCATGGACATATCTGATATTGGGAATGGGAAGTGGGGCAAAGGGCTGGATTAGAATCACTTCAAGAAAATCAGCATTGTAATAAAATAAAATATATTATCTCTTTCACATTATATAGAAGCATAGAGCAAGGGAAAACTAGTAAACAAAATCAAATATAGGTACAAATCAGGTAGGAGAAAATTGTTTTTAAATTAAACATTTAAAATTTTGATTCATATCTAGAAAGTGCAGAGTCAAGACTGTATGACAAAAGAATCAATAAATTTACAAATTCAGATAATCCAGTTTCTATACATAGACGAAAATTAGCAATAAGTCTAAAAAATTTTAAATAGGCAAATATGATATACACACACACACACACAACACCAAGCTAAAATTAGCATTCAGACTTACCGTAATAGGAGTTCTTTGGGAAGTTTTTTATTGATTACAGCTTCATCACTATTTGAGAACATCTGCAAAAACAAAATCATTTAATGTTACTTAACATTTTATTACGTTCAACTCAAAGTTTAGAGGCAATCCTCTAAAGAGAGAGGTGAATAAGTATAGTGGATATTATAAGCTGAAGTCATATATTTAGGGACTCTTCAGGCTGAAAAACATCTTTGAGACATTTAATTTGTTCCCTGTCTTTAGAAAAAATTAACAGCAATCAGAAGGATGACATTATGTGGCAGGTATTGCTTTAAGTATTTTTCATGTACGAATGTACTGAATCTTCATACTATCCTTAATCTTCATTTTCTTGTAAGGAAACGGAATTGCAAAAGATTTACTTGCTTAAAATCACATCACTGCACAGTGGCCATTTAAAAATGCCATTAGGATAAGGTGATTCTCCAAATCTAAGTCACATTTACTTGTTCAAGGAGGTGCTCAGAAACCATCCTAGGACAGGGAACATTCTGAGTTTTACATAACATGCAGAAAACTGGTAATGCTTAATAACCACCACTACATGCATTCTTGAGGCACACAAGTGATCATTTAACAAATTAATCAAGAAACCCACAATAGGTACTTTTAAACAGAGTCACCATTTCTTCCATAAAGGACATCAAGACTGTAAGTTTGTGTAGTAATCCACATAAAAAACCAAATACCTATACTCAATAAAAAGCAGAGTAATAACAGCAAACACACATGTCACTGAAGCTGAGGGAAAGATGCTCAGTCCCTGCTATTACGCATTACAGAGATGCCTCTTGACTTCATGCAATGAACATTGAACACCCTCAAATCAGGCTCTCTCACAGGCAATGAGATACAGAGAAAAGGAGATGTTATCTCTGTGTTTCAGGAGCTCTTGCTCTACAATGAACACAAATAAGTAAATATTAATTATTAGAGATAAAGGACAAGAGGTATATGAGAGCAAGGGAAGAAATAACTAATTCTGCTCATGCCTTGACATCTAAACTGAGTCTTTTTTTTTTTT